AGTATTTTTTAAATAATAATAAAATATATAAAGTAATAAATGTTTTCGATATTTTAACATCATAAATCTTCTATATATAAGATTTATTTTACAGAATATATAAAGATTAACCTATTAAATTCTTCACTTAAACTTTCATCTCTATCATTTATTCCTCTGATAATATATATATAAGTTATAAAATTCTTCATAAATCAAACTAAATATGAGTCATTCACCGAGGGACAAATATGGTCTACGTGAAAGAATGATCAAGAAGAACATCCAAGTGATCTCATTTATGAAAAATTCGATAAATCAATAAAAATGTGGACCCATTAAAAAAAAAGTTATCCAATAAAATTCTATAGAAAAAAATCAGGTTAAGAACCATTTTTATCCGTAAAGTAATCAAATCATTTAATATTAAAATGCAATTTAACTTCGAAAATAATTAATGTAATTCTTAGTTATTCCTCTACTTGAGTGGGGTGACCTTTTGACATTTATAAATTTAGATATGAAGATAATCTTACGTATATTTTACTTTTTTTACTGTATTAAAAATTGATTCGACAAGTTAATCTTACAGAAAAGATTGTATGGCTAAACTGTAATATAAACATAGATCTATATATATATATATATATAATTCAAAACTGGAAAGGAAAGTACATCGATCTAAACTTTAGTTACATAAAAATTACAGATTTATATTATATTAAATTACCATTTTCAAATAAAATTACTTTCCCTTTCCTTGAAATCAACGTTGATGAATATTCTTGTTTGATAACTTCTTCTATATCAATTTGCATTACAAAATAGATAAAGATTCTCTTGAAATATTAAAGAATTTCTTTCTAGACTGTAATTCCATACGTTTTTTTTATTCTAGATTTATTTAGTTTTGTGTGTGTGTGTTTGTGTGTGTAAAGATTCTTCGAATGTGAGCGCAATTGATTTTATATAGAAAGAGATTCCGAGCACGAAATTTTATATTACCAGAAAAATCATATTAGAAATACATAATGCAACATCGTTGTATAAAGTCTATATTTATATACATTTTTTAAAAAATAATCTGTATTGAAAAGTCGAATTAATTTAATGATTTCGATGGAAAATATCTATTAAATCTTTGGACAAAAAAAACGTGGAAAAGTAGGACATTTCTCTTAAAGATAATTGTAATTAATTAAGCATTAAAGATAGATCCGTTTACACATAATTTAATAAATTTTACACCGTTATTTATATTGTCTGGCATTAAATATTATTATTTCTCTTAGAATTTAATTTTCTACAATATAAATACAGCTCGAGGCTATTCATTTTCTTGAAATTGGCTTCATTTTCGGTTGTAAATCAGTGTTTTTTTAATACAATTATAATAAAAATTACCAAAATCTCTATGTTAAATTCACTTTTTAAATATATAATACGAAGTTTTATTGTTATAGAGATCAATATGTGAACAAGAATTGTATAAGTTTGTAATTGGCTTCAGTCTTCTTGTCTCGTATGTCAAGCAATTAAGAGTAACATCGAGTTTTGGTGTAGAAATGGAGGATTTACTTGTCATTTATATCTTCAAATTACATCACTTCATAAATTACGTACTCTAATTTATTAAAATTCGAAAAAAATATATCGATTTGTCGAAAGTGTATAAAAATATTCTAAAAGTAATACCTTTTTTTTCAGTTCTTTTGTATGTATTCATTGAGAATTATAACGGAAAGTTGAAGTCGATGAATCAACATCTTACAATTCACAACTTTTAAAATAATTTAATTTAATTTATTTTTTAAAAAATTCTTTGGGAGGATTAAGTTCCTCCTCCTCCTTCTTATTTTTAAATCAATCAAGGGAAGAATAGATTAGAAGCCAAAACAGAATAACAAAAAGAACGACTACAACTCTCATTAAGGCTAACTTGTTCGAATTCTTTTTATTTTAACGTGACAATGTCGTTTTGAAAAATAAAAATAAAATAAAATGAAAATTCTCTTTGAATTTTGTAATTCACAATAAAGTAAAGTTGTTTTGAAAAGTGCAAAAAAAAACTACAATTATTTACGTCTTAACAATGAATTTTTAAACTTATCCAATAAATTTTCTCGTTATATTCGAGCTTAGACAACGATAATACACGCTTTAAAAATTTATATAATTAGATATAATTATATAAAATTATCTTGGTAATAAATTGTATTTTTATAAATTCTCTAACCTTTCGAAGAATGAAGCTATTAAATTGACTTTAATCAAGTTTTTTTTACTTGATTAAAGTAAATTTAATAGAAAAAAAGTATGGTGATCGGTCAAAAAAACATCCCCAAAGATTTTCTGTATGTAAGGATGTTTATGTGTATGTGTATGTATGTGAGGGGCACGATTTTGTTCATCCATTTTAAAGCTTAATAACTCGTGTAGATTTTGTTAAAAATTGCTGAAATTTTACATAGTGGTTTATTTATTAGGGGCATTAATGCTATTAAATTTTGGTGATTAAATGTTCAGGGGTTGAGGAGATAGATGGTTTCGTATGTCGTATCTCGAGTGGGGTCAGATATGACGAAGAATTTATTCGTTATTAGCATTTACAACCTTTTTTTTTAAATAAAAACCCCTCAAAACTAAGCTTTTTGCCTTTTTATAATAGATAAAAAATATAAAAACGTTTAAAATAAAATATGATAACAGATGGCGCTACCAAATGTTTCCGGAAAAGTTAAGCAACTCGTTATTGGATATTTTTCTTTTTTAGTCGTTTATTAATATTTGATGACTGTTAAAAGAGAGGGAAATTTATGTGTAGGTTTGTAAAAGGGAGGGAAAATATTGCGAGAAATTATCTAAAAAGAAATCGGAATTGTGACAAGAAGAAAAAGAGTTTCGCATTACTTCGGACACGAAATATATTGAATGATTATATCCCGAATACGTCTATTGTATATAGTTTGGCTGTGAAATTCAGTTAAAGAAACATGTCTAACATGGCATTCAATACTGTAAAATGAAATAGGTATTCGAATAGCAGACCACTGCATTAGTTGCCACAAAGGTTCTTTATACACAGAAACGAAACTAAAGTTTTTTTTTTTTGAGGGGAAAAGATTTTATTTTTTTCTAGTAGAAAGAATGTTTTGCGATGTATCTGGAGATCTATGCATCGATTCCCAAGGGCGAACAAAAGATTTTCTCCGTTTTTTTAAAGACTTTTGGGGTTTTGTTGTTTTTATATAACGTGAAAATTCTCAAACAAAATGTAAGTGGATCAACAAAATTATATTTTTGTTGTGGATATTAAAAGAAAAAGCTTGAAAAACAAGACAAAACTTTTCATCCTTTACAAACTGAAGCTATTCAAAAAGATATTTTTGGTTATTTTTTTTCTCTTATTGGACTGCAATTCGAAAAAAATTGTCATCCGTCCGTCTGTCTGTCTTTCCTTAATCTCGAGAATAGCGTTAGATAGATGAAAATCAAGACCCACATGATTTTCTCCCGAAAGGTGTTAGATAGATGATCCGCACGACTCTACTGTTAAAGGAAAAGTATGATGTACAGGGGCAAGCCACTACTGATTTGCGATGGAGAGCATATATTTTAAATTAAATAAATTTAAAAAATATGATTAAAAATTGCAGCCTGGTATTGCGACGTGGTCACAATACCAGGCTGCTTGTTTTTGTTAATTTTCCCCCTTTTATTAATTCTATAAAAGAAGGTTGTTTTAGTTAATTTTTTAAATATTTTTTATGCTATTTCTTTCAGGTATTCAGCATATTGCCTGGTAGAGACGTGATGTCTGCAGATTGATGAAGCAACCAACATCTGTCGCTTTTTATTCCGAACGATACAGAAAGTGATTAAGGAAGAACCATAGCAATATATCACTCTCATTGACAGAAGAGTATTGAACATATCAATAAAATGATTAAACACAAAGAGGTCATTTTTTAAATCAGCTTAAGATATTTTGTAAAATGAATGCCTTGTTGCGTAACATTGATCCATTACTTTCCGTATCTAAACATGAATAAAACGATAATTCTCGCTGGAGAATTTTGTTAAATTAATGAAAATTATGTGGGATTCGATGAGTTAATTTTTAAATTAATTCAACATCAAATATTTTCTTTGTAATTTCCATTTATCATCGTCCTTATAAAGATTTCCACCTTCATAAGAAAGGATCGTTATAAGGATAATGATAACTTCATCCTTATGTTATCAGGAAAAGTATGATGTACAGGGGCAAGACACTAGTAAAATCGAGAGCATATATTTTAAATTAAATAAATTAAAAATATGATTAAAATAGCAGCCCGGAATTATGTCGAATGTTACAATAATTTTTGTTTGTTTGCTTTATTATTTTCCATTATATTTTTTGTATTAATTTACTTAAATTCGAAAATAACTATTTTATATTTACATTAAGATCACTGGAAAGAGATATAAACAATTTATTTTTTTTATTATTTTGTATAGAATGAAGTAGAGAAATCTACTACCTGAGGCTAGTCCCAGTACAAACAGCGAGACAAAAACAAGTTATTTTTAGGTTATTCTGCAAACACTAAAGGTATTAAGTGCCTTTTCGCATTCATTAAATATGCAAACAATTATTTTACATTTAGAAATATAAAGAGCATGCATTAAATCCATTTAAGAAGATGCTCACTAGGATATTTATTGAGGAGAGGAAGCAATATTTGATCTTAATTATTTTATACCGAATTTTATGTAACACGAGAGAAAAATTTCCATTGCTCACAGCTGGAATTTAGTTTAAGAATAAAGAAAATTTTAAAAATAACGTTGAGAACATGCAAACATTCGACTGCTTTCTTTAAGCAATAAAATGTTGGCAAAGTCTTTTTTAAAAAGTACATTTGACTTCTAACTCAATTATTGACTTCTCTCTCCATTAAATCTGAAGTTAATTTTATTATAAAAGTAATAAAATTAAGAAAACTCGAGAGAGTTTTAAGGAAAAAGAAACTCACCTGCATGTTCCACCATTTTGGCAAGTAATCAAACTCCCTGACGGTCCACAAAGTGGGCTATGTTGACATTCATCCCCATAATACGTATCGAAACAGTCACAGTAATAACTATGATAATCAGCTGCTGCTAAACATCTTCCAGTGTATGAGCAATGATGATTTATGCAGCCATCTTTCTTAACGGCTTGTGTTTTGTCCATGATTTCGTAAGTGATGTTGAAACCGAAAACATCCAAAAAATATTCACGAATTCTTAGATGAATATTCCCTATTTCACGGACAACAAATTCAAATACCAAAATCGGTTTGTTGGTTAATAAATACGTAGGCCTGTTATCTGAAGAGATTGGATCGAATTCGTGTTTTCCAGCGTAGAAGTTGTCGGCAAAGAAAGCATATTCTGTTAACTTTACCCCTTCTCTCATATAGAACTGCGTGAAGTATATGGCAATCACTTTGTTGACGGGAGCTTCGATAACCCAACGACAACTGATAGGGATGGGATATTGTTTAGGGAAATTTGGAGTTACGATAATTCCTCTCGGATCTTGTAAGGTTCCACCACAATTTGTATAAACAATTTCCTGTCCGAGGGATGCTCCTCCGATACTCATAATCAACATCATCCACCAATGCCATTTCACCTTATCCATTGTAATTATATTTATTTTCTAGTCAGGAGAATTTTTTCGATTGATTTTCTGTCAAATCGATACACATAACTCGAATATTTCAAGTTAAATCTGTAAAGAAACAAGTAATAAAAATTGAACTTAAAGAATTTATAACTAAGTCATAAAAAGAATATATTGTCTAACATTTAAACACATTAAAGAAAGAGGAAGGAACCTTCTTCTTAATCCTACTACATTAATTCTGTAATTGGCTAAATGCGGAAGAATCATCAATAAGATATTTCATGTCATGATACTTGGAACGTTACAGCATTGTTGAACCGCCTTCGTTCCTTTTTCCATCATCTAGACAATAAATCCTCAATTCTCCTGTTGTAGACATGGCAAGCGTCTTCTCTTTCTCAACTATACATTACTTAGACTGGTGGTCGAGACATTCCGTCGTCCCACTTGTCTCTACAACTTTTATTGTTCGATACACGTAATTGTTTACCCCGCATTTCGACTTCGACTTGGAAATCTCAACCATTATTTTAAAACATTAAAATGGGCAATAAAAACATTTTATTGAATGTAAATCGTTCTGTATCATCCTTCTATTCCATTTATATTAACATTAAACCGTTTCCCTGATTTTTTTCCCTTCTACCCTTTTATCAAGATATAGTGCATTGAACTTAAAGTAAACTAACCTCTAATTTTTCATCATTAAAAGAAATAATAATAAAAAAAGATATTTATTTATCTACATCATAAAAAATAATATAGATTCATTACAATTTTAATTCTTTATTAACAAGCAGATTTATTTAATTTTAAGTTAATGTATGATTTGTTTAAGGTTTTCTTAACCATTAAATTTCCTTGGAGCGTATAACACTTAGTAAATTTATAATGTTCTGGGTATTTCTCAAGTCTAATAAGAACAAATTACCTCAATGGACTTTGGTCAACCAACAACAACGCTATAATTTTAACAGGAGCTTTCATTTCGGTTCCTTGTTATCAATCCCTGGAGCAAATTCTCTTGAATTATTATCAAAGACACTCATTTAAATGATACGATACAAATTTACAGGATATAATTTCGACGTCCAACATCATTTTTCTCTTTGTTTACCGTAAATTTCACGCTCCATACGACAGTTTAACTAGCTAAAAACATATAATACGACGAATCCTTTCATTCGTCAAATTACTTAGACAAGATGGAAAGAGAAAGAGACAGAGAGAGAGAGGGTGGGGAATATCTTAATATTTAAAAAGTTTATACAGATTTACTAAACGAATAAGTCGAATTTTGAATTGCTAAGTAAACACGACTTTACTGTATAAACAAATGGAAGATAGATACGTTTATAGATGTTATACATTTCTTTGAAACTTAAACAGAGTAAAATTAAATCTAAGTTCTAGATAACTTTATTATTCAAAATCGATGAAAGTCAGTTTTCTTTTGACAAAAGAACCAATTGGTTTTCTTCCGATACTACATTCTTTTTCCTCTAAAGAATGATGAACGAGACGTTGAAATCGTTACTAGGATGCAGTCTATTTTTGGTGTTTGGTGTGAATGGCCATCTCAACTCTGAACAAAAACTCAATTCCGTACTCGGATGATAGCAAATGGTAGAAAAGAGTCATGAGACCAACAAGATATTCTTTACCTCTCTTTTTTTCCTTTATTTTTTTTAAAAAGTAGAAAGAAAAACTAGTTTATACTTTGCAACAGAAATCCTCAAACTTAGAACTATATAAGCTTATTTCTGGTTGTATGCGGTTTTAAAAGAGGGGGAGAAAATAAAGTAAACGCTAGTAAAATAATCGATAAGAAACTTAACTCCAATTCTCTAAACTTTTTTAATGAATCCATGCGAAAATATATTTAAATCATACTAATTATACATGCGATTCTTTCAAATTCAATTCTTTTGAGATATCGATTCGAATTATCTAACAAATATTAATATTTATTTTAAAACTTATATATATATTTTTTATCATTTTGTTTAATAAAGAATTTTAATACAAGAACGTAACCTTTTACTAGTGTTTGAACGGATTTAAATGGTGGCGAATTTTAATTAGTTTTGCCATAAAAACTAAAGGCTAATTTAATATGTTTAAAAAGTAATATAGGAAAAAATATATACGGTAAAACCTGTGTAAACCGGTATCGAATATATTTTTTTGGTTTTTGAACAGGTGGGTGTTTTTTTAACACCGAAAGTCGCTGCGCTTCGAAGAATCTTTCTTTCCTCTTCAAGCAGGTTCCGTTTTGAACAGGTTTTATTGTATATAAATGTCAAAAAATCGCGTTTAAAGTCCAACAAAAGATCGATAAATCTAGACAGAAAGAATTTTCTTTAGTTCGATGAGTATTTTTTCCACTATTTTATCAAAACAAAGCATGAAAAAAAATGTAAGATACTGTAGTTCTTGTTTTCAGCATGGAAAAAAAAGGCAAATAACGTATATTTTTCCAGTCGAAACTACCTAAACATGATTTTTCAGAAGTATGATGACAACTAAGAAAAAATTATTTACATAGTTTTTATTTATTTTTAAAATTTTTAACTTTAATTTAATTTTAAATGTTTTCAAAGTTTCAATTTCTTATTCGTTTTTAAAATTCCTCAACATCTTTTCCATTTTATTCTTATTAATCAATATAAAAAACGTTTCAAAAGTCGGTAAACCGAAGGAAGTAACTAAAAACAATTTGAAGCATGCAATTATTTCACCATTCTTATAGAAAAAAAGGGGTTATCTCTCCCGGTTAACTGACTTTTGGGCCATCCTGTATGCATAAGTTAAACTAGATACGTGGAATTTCCTTTAAAAAAGAAAAATACAATACAAAAACATCGAACATTACTTAAAATATATAGAATTATTAATGATTTTCTACTCAGTCACATACTCAATTTATCAATTGAATTGCTGAAAGACATTTGTTTTCCAACAATTCAATTCAATGCATTGTATGATCTATGGTATAGCACGATATAGATATCATATGTTACTATAGATCGATGTAGATAGAGAAATAATACCATAAATAACCATAAATCAATCGATATATGAATAATCTATGGTATCGATGGTATGACTTGACGAGAAAATTAATTATTACATTTTAAATGCTTTATAGTTTATAATAAACAAATAGAGAGGTACAAAATAGAAAGAAATTTCAACTGAGTGACTAAGAATAAGACTTCTGTTTATTTCTAAAATCGACATTTTATGGCTTTTTGAAGTGTGAAGTCTTAAAAAAATAATAGCAAACAAACATTTGAAATGTTTGGCACGTATTAGGACATCTTGTTGTCATCTGAGAGTCAGACAGACAGACAGGCATTGGCACTAGAGAATTGTTGCAACATGCTATTAAAGATTAGCCAGTTTCATTCAACTCAATTCCTATATTTCTGTAGTTTTTTTTTTTTAGCTCTTCTAACCACAATTTCTTTAAACTTAAATATATTATTCTATTATTCAGAATTTATATTGATGAATAGGTCTNAAAAGTATGATTTACAGGGGCAATACATTACTAAAATCGAGAGCATATATTTTAAATGAAATAAATTAAAAATATGATTAAAAAATTGCAGCTCGGCATTGTGATCATGTCACAATAAATAATTGCTTGTATATCATTGCATAAAATTAACAATAGTAACTTAATCTATAACTGTCATACTTTAAATAACTTTTATAAAACAAGTAAGGAGTCATATGAAAAATTTTCCCGGAGAAAAACTAGAAAATGTCAGACTTCAATAAAAATTTTTGTTACTGACAGTCGTCATATTTTAGATATATTTGAACAATACTTTTTTATAGCTTGATCGTAGTACTTTTTTTCAAGAAAGAACGATGATGTATATATGTAACGTATCGCTGAAACATTAATTTCGAATTTAGAATAAATGTTTTCGTGATTCACCTCTGTGTTTTTACTATACGAGACATCACAAAATCACCATCACTCAGTATTATCCGTAACTATTGTCAAATCTCTTTAATGGCGACAATTTAATCATTTAAAAATATTTTATAATCTAACGAGCAATTTTTTATTGTGACATGATCACAGTGCCAGGCTGCAATTTTTAATTATATTTTTTAATTTATTTAATTTAAAATATATGTTTTCCACCTCAAATTAGTAGTACAGTACATCATACTTTTCCTTTAACAATAGAGTTTTGCCGGTTATCTATGTAATTCCATTCAGGGGAAGTTTGAATTGAAATTGTACTAAGGAATAATACAAGGGGTATCAAACGACACATTATTTTATTAATTATACGTAGTATAATTAATAAAATAATGTGTCGCTATGAAACACTTCATAAAGTTGTGCCTTGTATCGCTTTTGTAAACACTCCCACCCCATTATAACGCCTCGTAACTATTACCTGCACACCCCACTTATAGACTATAAGAAATAACTCAAATTTATTATATTTATATACAGGTATATAATAATAACTTTATTTAGCATCAATTTGCTGTATACAGAACGGATGGTGGGGGATGGATGAAACGACTTGTACACTGTACAATAGATTAATCGTATCGAAAATTAATATTCTAAAAGGAAACTCATTTTCATTCTATCAGCTTAATTGTTTTTTTTTCAAATAAACCTTCTGGACGTTTCCTGGACCCTATATCATCTTGAGGAGTCCTCGAACCACAATTTGGGAAGAGCTGATCTATGCATACATTTAACATATAAATTTCATTGAAAAAAAGCAAGATATATAAAATCTACACCGTTAACTGAACAGAATTTTTGTTTAAATTGCTTATTTAATTAAAAAAAAATTAAATTTAAAATAAAGTATTTTTTAAATAATAATAAAATATATAAAGTAATAAATGTTTTCGATATTTTAACATCATAAATCTTCTATATATAAGATTTATTTTACAGAATATATAAAGATTAACCTATTAAATTCTTCACTTAAACTTTCATCTCTATCATTTATTCCTCTGATAATATATATATAAGTTATAAAATTCTTCATAAATCAAACTAAATATGAGTCATTCACCGAGGGACAAATATGGTCTACGTGAAAGAATGA